ATCCATCTCCATTATCTTGACTTTTCTGCTCTTCTTTTCTATTATTCCCCCTTTTTCTTTCCTAATAGCCCCCTTCCTTTCTTCAGAAGGCACAAATCTTGAATCATACACATTACTCTCTCCCTTTTTATGATACATGTCATTACTGTGAAACTGTAATTTCCCAATATGTGAAATCAGGTGACTAGATTTTTGTCCCCAAGCTCTTTCCATATCTTTTATCATCTCTTATAGAAGAGGAGAGATTTTTAAGACAAGACTGGCTGTTTTTGCTATCGAAAAAGCCTAAGGAGAAGTGGCAGAGAGACAAAATAAATGTGTTTAAATTCAGAGGGGAGATGGTTTTATTTCATTCTGTATCAACAGCCAGTGGAGCCTCCTCTGGAACTTAAGTCCCAGCAAGATCAACTTTGTTACTCAGTGGTAGTGGATTTGGAAGTGTGAAGGAACGTCTTAGGGAAGAAGAGAAATCAGTATAGCCTTCTCAAAAGAGGCCTGGAGCTTATACTTCCCACATGACTTCTGAAGGCTAAATCCTGTTGGCTCAACATGCTTATCCTGTGTCCATATTCCTCAGGGCCTCAGACTTTTCAAGCTCCTAACTGGAAGCATTCAGAAGCATAGGCCAGCTTTGCCAGGTCAAGTGGTTCTTGTTTCAACTCCATTACTATGATTCCTGAAGAACATGTTGAGTAATATACAGGCTTTATTTACAGAAGCACACTAAACACTCCTAAAACACAAGTCAAGCCTTCAACCTCTCATTTCATACCTCTCTGAACGGTGTCTTGTGACTAACTCCCCTGGCCTTCATCTATGGCATCTCAATGTGCATGTTAGCTGCTGTGAGCAACTGAGGATTTAATGGGAGAGACTAACATTGTCCTGTGTGTCCAACAAGGTTCCAGAAGCTCCATGAGCAAGGTCTTAGTACTTACAACCTCTCCAGCACATACTCTAAGTTCCTTTCCCCCTCCCATGTTTCCCCTTGCTCTTTCCCTGCTTCTCTGCGAGAAGAAGCTCCTGAGAGGAGGGTCTTTTCTACCTCTTAAACAAAGGGCAGAGGGTCACCTGAAACTGAGTAATTAATGCACCACAATTTGTGCTACATTTTATTCTGATGTGTAACTACTGGCTGACCCTTAAAGAATGGTTTAGCTTCTAAAGCCTAATAATAGAACAGGGAAGATTATTAATTTTCCAGACAGTGGTGTTTGAGTAACCATGAGCCAAAGTCTGATAAAAGGTTCCTGCAATCACATCCAGTAATTTCAATGACAGACCTAGTATGCAGGTACTTATTATTATTAGTGTTGTTTTTGTAATTATTACTTGGTGTCATTTTAGATATTTGGAAGAATTAACCTAAACACCAAGGGCCAGGCAGTTTTTATAGGTACATAGTTAGGATTCTAATCAGATTCTTTCTGGAATACTCTTAGACTCTGGGTCAACTTTCTTCACAGATTTGTTTATGTTTTCAGTACAGTGTGTCTGCCAGTTTTAACTGTTTCATATATACATTATGTAACGCCTGTTATTTTCCTAATGATCATAACTTATCATCTGCAGGGTCAATGTAGGAGGAAAAATTTAAGCAAACTAGGAGAGAGAGAATACAGGTGGTTGTATTATGGTTGGTTATTTAATCAAGCTGGTAAAGAGTAGGGAAAGAGGACAGTGCAGTTCAGAGATTAACATCCCAATGGGGATCCCGTGTCATCATCTTTAAACTTCATCCTGGCAAAAAATACCTTTCCTACGAGGATGTTCTGGAAACATGGAAATGCTGATGCAAGAATCACACTGACAGGGACATTTCACTTCCTCATTAGCCAGACATGATATACACTTACAAGAGTTTGCTTCTGTCCATTTCTACTGTCTGAGGCCAGAGTAAATGTGCTCATTTGCCAGCCTTATCATTTGTTGCTGCCTTTTCTGTGTTTCCTCAGGTAATCTCCAATTACACAGAGCCTGATTCTTTCTCTTCCTTGCAGTATTGATGATCAAGGTAGAATCACAAGCAACTAAGATAATTTCAAAGGGTGGAGTAGGAGTAAAAAAAAAAAAAGAATAAAGGCTGATAAGTATGGAAAGAGTTCATCCTTTGCAAGTTTAATTTTCTTATCAGTGTATGGGTTCTCTGTTAAGTCTAAGAGGTAATTATTACCTGCATGTAAAGCAAGGCATGTTAAATTAAGGTACAGGCCCAAATAAAAACAACAACAACCACAGCAACAACAACAATCTAATGATTGAGATGCACTGCAGTCCAATCTGTTTACATATTTTCTTTCAAGATAATGGCAGAGTTTACTAATTGCTGATTTCATAATTACTGTTGTAGGTTGCTTTTACTTCCAATATTTACTGAAGTATATCCAAATTACACTGAATATCCCTGCATATTTCTTTTCATTTTTAAAAAGGGTAACATGCTTTAGAAAAAACTGAACCCAATTAAGATAATTTTAAATAAGAAGCTGGCATTGTGTGAATATGAACCAGCAGGAGGGATTTTAATTGGAAAAAAGGAATCAGTAACATCCTAATCACTTCACATTTTCTTCATCCTACTGAGTTATGCTGGTTTGTTTCACTGAATGTGGCAAAGATGATTGAAAGTCAACTTGTGCCATCTTCAAAAGTTTTAAGGAAAAAGCATAATGAAAATTAATTAAGAGTTTTTAGGCTCCCTGATGATGTGTTCAATAAAGGAGTCACAAAGTCTACCAAGAAGTAAAACTAAGAATGTTCAGAACCATCCAGCCTGAAGTATCTAATGTAAAGAGGGACGAGAACATTATCCCATGTGATGGTCCAGGGTCGAGGTTGGACTACTTTGGCTCATTTTACTGTGCCTGTCACTGGATGACCTTGTGCAAATTGCTAATTGTTCATCATCATCTGTGAAATGGGCTCCATGGAACTTGACTAAGGAGATAATGCAACGGTTAACATAGTGTCATGGAGAGTGAATGAGTAACTTCGAATGTTCACTGTGTTACATTTCTGCTTAGCTTAACTGAATTCCAGAATCATTTCTGACGCTATGAATAATACATACCATTTAACTTGACTTCCTGACTCCTAAGTGTCAACAGCTTCAGCTCACAGAACAGGACATTCTGTATCCAGCGGCTCAACAGTTGTCTAAGAAATAACACAATGAGGAGAATTCTACCCCACATGCATTCTTCAGACAGAGAACCCAAGGCTTTGAAACTGGAGCAAGAAACCATGATCAGCAGTTAGAGAGGGTGCTGTGAAGTTGGCACAGGTATCCTGAAAAGTTGCCTTCTGCTCTTCCCATGCCCGCCATTAGGACTGCTGTGTGTGAGATCTCTGTCTGTACACTCTCAGGGAATTTTTTTTTTTTTATAGAAGATACTAGTACAATGACATCAACTAAGCCTAAACTCCAACACAGCACACACACACACACATACTCACACACACAAACACAAACATCACACTACAGTGAGAAAGAGAGAGAGAGAAAGAGAGAGAGAGAGAGAGAGAGAAAGGGAGAGAGGGAGAATGGGAGAGACAGCTCTATACAGTTTCCCCTTAATTTCTCTATAAAACTCCATGTCTAATATGAGAAGATAATGGATTATTTTTGTTCTCATTTTCCTTACACTAACATTAACTTTTGAAATGGTTTACAAATTCAAAGCTGAATCATTAGTACATTTTAGCATGTATAAATACTTAGCATGTGTCTATCACAGTGATCATCTCAAGCAAAATCTACCTCTGATAACAAAAAGAAAATCTATGTAGAATGCAGTACATTGACATCATTCCTAAGAAAAAATAAATAAACTCTGTTGTCAAAAAAATGTGTGAGTTTCTATTCATGACAGAATGAAGTGAGAAGAAGTTAGGTACTGTAAGTCTATTATGCACTTTTCTGTTTTCTTTTATCAGCCCTTTGATGCACATCTGAATTATTCCGAATGTAGAATTCATTGTATCAAATTACATTTTACTGACTTAGTGGCGCATAAACAAAAATTTAAAAACATTTCTCTAAAGGCTGTAAAGGTCAACTGTAGGATGAGAAATGTAAGGAGCCATCGCCACTCTGTCACTCCACATGCACTTCCTCTCTTCCCTGTGTGGATGTTTCCCTCCACCACACCACAGTGAAAAAGGCAGAACTACTCGATTATTATAAATTTTATTAGAATAATAGAAAATAATACATACAGATAACCATAGGATACACACACAGGAATTTAAATAGTAAAATTCAGACTTTTCAATATGAAACAGAGTCTACATCTCATGGAGATATCCTGATAGAAATAACAGGAAACAAGAGAATATCCATCTCGCAAAAGTAAAGTATAGGAACAACTTCTAGGAGTCATCGGGTAATAAAAAGGTATAGTTCTGTCACATGGATCATAAAGCACAGGGATTGGAGAAAGTGTTTCCCCACTTTTTGACTGGAAATAACAATGGTCATATGAAATCAAATAGTCATTCATATTTCTTCTCAATATGTACAATATATACAGACCCGACAGAGACTTAAAAAATCATTCTCCTTTTTACATAGTGACCTTATCGTAAATGGAATCTCTGAAGGAAGGGCGCTATACTAAAATGGTATCAGAATTTGGCTAATTTTTATTATCTCTTGAGAGCTGTACCATCAGTTTCCAATTTTGCTACTTTTGGTAATATGAAAAAAATTCCAGTAAAATGTGAAATTTGTACGTAAGAGGTAAAAGAACATTATTTTGAATGTCCAGCACTGAATCTGCTGATTTTCATATAACTTTTACATATTATTGTGAAGTGGTGTCTTCCTCAGTCCTTTGAAAAGCACATATTAAAAGACTGAGTCATGTGTATCAAAGCCAGCAGCTCCAACATGTTCTATTACCAATTTAACTTGGGAGCAGAAAAGCCTGCCTGACTCAATGAGATAGACAGTGTGATTTCATTAAAAAAAAAAAAAAAATCTCTGCCATCTGGAGAGAGAGGACCCCTTAATGGAATCAGAAACTGGAAGTGAAGAATTATGTGCATTTTGTTTCACATTTGGGTTAACATACAGTTGTTCCTTATTTTCTCTACTGGGTTTTGACAGAGCCTGAAAACATATTTTTACATGGGAAAGGAATGAGTGAGTTCTAATTGATTTCACTCTAATTTCTGAGGAAGGGTAAAAGGTGCTCATTTTCATGTTCCATCTCTTTCTTTGTAAATATGAACAAAAAGAAAAGGTGTTACAATATACACTCAGATTCAATTCCCATCTTCGAACAAGACAGATCATCCTACCGAGAACATGGAACAGCAGCAAGTCAGAAATGCCAGGTTTGCTGTGTCATGTTAGGGAGTTCATGTAAGATTTGGCACAGGGACACTGCACGTGGGGGAAGCCATACTTTTCATAGTCCCGTCTTTGTTTTGTAACAATGACTCCTTTCAGCAAAGGCAGATAGGAGAAATATTGTCATCTTGTTTTACAGTATGAGGAATTGAAAAATGAGAGGACCAGTGACTAAAGGAATCTCGCCTCCACAGAGGAGCACAGTGAGACAGATGTCACCTCGCCAAGCTCAGAGCAGTACTTTCTACTAATACTCTATGGGATCACAGGGCAGGCCACTCCCTTCCAGCATAACTGTCTAAGAGCATTTTTACCCTGAGGGATTAAAATTGGATCCATGCTAAAATTAGTAAGCCTAACATGATAGGTGCTGTTGTAATAATGAGAAAAAAATATTTGGAATAAACGAGTTTGCAGGATAGAAAAATGGTGTGTGTGTGTGTGTGTGTGTGTGTCTCGTGCTCTGTTGGTAGATTGTGTGTTGTGTGTACTGTGTGTGTACTATGTGTTTGTACATGTCATGTGTGTAACTGTGTTTTTGTGTATCCGGTGTTTGTATGTGCCTCACACATAGGCAGTGATTAAACCCATAACATAAGAATATTTCTATCAAAAGTTTGCAGTATATAATTTGTAAGTTCCTTTGGTTTACCAAGCAAATATTAAGGCATTTCAGATTCCTCTTAAAGGATTTACTGCTTTTATTATATTCATATTTTACCTATAATGGAGTAGAAATTTAAAAACACATACCTGAAAAAAAACATGCATAATCACTGATTCAGAAAGCACTTTTTTTTTTGTATGTAACCAATTAACTTTCCAGTAAACAATAACAAGGGCCTATCACCACAAAGCATTTACAATAAAGAACAGTAGGACGGGAATATAACCTGACACAGGGTGGATGTTAGAAATGGCTGATGTGGATCCTCTTGCATCCATACCTGTCAAAGATGATAAAGGGATCGTTAATAAGGGCTGTAATTGGAACACCTGAGGTTGAATGGTTCTGTTCCCTTTAGAATCATGATGAAATCCTATCTTCAGTTCTGATGATATTCATGCTTCAATAGTAGCCTTGCAGGTCTTTAAAGCTCTGGACTCCAATCCCTGATTTCCTGATAACTCAAGAATCTTAAGCATCAGCTTTGCCACTCCTCAGACTTAAATCACCACATGAAAAGGCCAAGGCAATGGAGCTATCTCTGGACCTTTTAATTACCTATCCAGGAATCCACTCCCCCTGGAAATCTGAATAACCTGTAGTCATACTAAGATGGGAGGAATAATTATCCCTTGAATGAGATGATGTTCTTCCCCCCCATCCCCAGAAGCTCCTTAGGGAAGGCACTTGCAGACCGTACAACAGGTAACAGGTCTGCAGCATCTCTATGGAGCCTGGCCATGTGTTCTGTTTGCCTCTGAGTACTAACTAAATTTTTATTTTTTTTTTTGGCTCTTTGGTTTTTTTTTTTTTTTTTTTTTTTTTTTGATTATTGGCCAAAAGACTAAGCAAAGACTCCCATACCCTGTGGCCTTTGTGATTCATCCTTCCAGGTTTTCAATCTCCTTTATTTTTTTTCCTGTTGTTTGTTTTTGTAATGAAGATATTTGTTAGCTTTCATTGCAAAAGCCATGGTCTTTTCCTCTTCCTAGTCTCCATCTTTATCCTCCAGGCAGCTGCCCTGTTGTTTTTCTCCTAAACGCTAATGAAACTGCATTCAAGCAAACTATTGAGTCTATTTCTAAATTCTTATGTTAATGAGATTGAGTACCCACAAAGGGAACCATTCTTCCTTGGAGAAATTTGGATATGGAATGTTTTGAAAACATTTATGAGTCTGTAGGCACCTCTGAAATCATGAATAATAAATTACTGTAGTTATAAGACAGTCAAATAATGTCACTGTTCTAAAAGTAGTTTAATCTGGGCAGTGGTGGCCCTTGCCTTTAATACCGGCATTTGGGAGACAGAGGCAGGTAAATTTGATGCCAACCTGGTCTACAGAGAAAGTCTCAGGACAGGCAGGCCTACAAAAAGAAATCCTGTCTCAATCACCCACCCCTCAAAAGCAGTTTGAATGAACTAAGACACACAAGAATGAAAATAAAGCCTGTTCTATTAAGGTTAAATTACAACACAAGCCTAACCTTGAATCGCTCTGGCTGCTAAGAGCATGTATAAGTCACTGATGTGTTCATGTGTTAGTAAATGACTCCAGTCTGCTTATTTCATGTACTTTAACTGAAATTGGAAAAACAACTTCATCATTGTGAAAATGATTAGACTTGATTACAAACAACTGGTGAGATAATTTGATGGTTTAATTAAAGAAAGATTCATGGCATAAAGGTTTAGAAAATGTGCTTATCTCTATGGAGATACATTTTCTGCATAATATGAATTATCATCTTTGTAGAAGAAATCAATAGAAACTCCATTTTCAAAGACAACCCTGTGTAATCACCTCACTACCACAAGATCAGCATCAAGGCAGGGTCAGATGCTCTGGATTAGGAAGTCATCCCTGAATGAAGAAATGACATAAAAGGAGAGAGTACAGGTACTCCTAAAGTATGGAGAAGATTCTTACTGCATATATAAGGGAGAGCAGGCAGAGGGAAGAGTAGTCTCCAAACTAAAATCCTTCCTGCTTCTCTCTAAAGAAATATAACACTTAGTCCTGTTAGCAGTCCACTGTCTATTCTGTCATTTTCTTTTTTAAATTAATTTATTTTTTATTAACTATAGTTTATTCACTTTGTATCCCAGTTATAGCCCCCTCCCCTGTCGACTCACCTTCCCTCCCTCATCTCCTCCCATGTCCCTCCCCAAGTCCACTGATAGAGGAGGTCCTCCTCCTCTTCCATCTGACCCTAGCTTTTCAGGTCTCATCAGGACTGCCTGCAATGTCCTCCATTGTGGCCTCTCAGGGCTGCCCCCATCAGGGGGAGGTGATCAAAGAGCCAGCCACTGAGTTCATGTCAGAGACAGTACCTGTTCCCATTACTAGGGAACATACACTGACATTGAGCTGCCATGGGCTACATCTGTGCAGGGGTTCTAGGTTATCTCCATGCATGGTTCTTGGTTGGAGTATATCTCAGAAAAGACTCCCTGACCAGATTTTTTGGTTCTGTTGCTGTTCACTCTAAACCTTGTACTATTAGAGAATAAGAAGCATGTGTTCCTTATTTTAAAAGGTAAAGGAATCAGGACTAAAGAAATGAGATGGCTCAGAGATTAAGAGTACTGCTCTTGGAGAGGGCCTGGGTTCAGTTCGCAGCACCCATGTTAGGTTGCTCAAAACCTCATAACTTCCTGTAATTCCACCTGAAACTGATGCAAATAAGACCCTTTTTTGGCCTTTGGGACAACTGCACTCATGTGTACACACACACACACACACACACACACACACACACACTATAAATCAGTTTCTCTTTTGATCTTTTGAATTTCACAGACTTTCAGGAGAGCCCCCATTCTAAAATGGTCTTTACACACTTGCACAAGTAAGTGATGAAAAAATTATCAGCTATTTTCTTAAGATAGTTTGATTTGTGTGCTCTACTCAAATTCTTTCACAGAAAATAAAATTTTCCTACATGGCCAAATTTTCCACTCTTCAGTCATGTCAGTCATATAACTTTAAAGACTAAAGGCCTTAGTCGAAGTCTAGATTGCCCAGCACTATGAACAAGATAAAGATCGATACATGGAAAGATGGGGCCAATCTATTTTTATCACTGAGAAAAACAGGACAGAGTAAGACAAGATGGACTTCACAGTACTTTAGTTAATGCTGGAGAACTCCAGAGGATTTAAAATTAAGGATAAAATGTATTTTGCCTTGTCACTGAGAAAATATGTATGCAAGAGTCTGTTTTCCTTAACTCAGAGATGGAAATTTCCATAGTAGAATAAATTTCATTGGATTTTCAGAGGAAAAGTTAGTGTGTAGCTCCTGTGAAATTAAAAGTAGATATTTTTAAAACCCGTTTCTCTGTCCAGTATTCAAAAGTAGATTATAACCTTATACATTTTAATTTTTTTTTAAATTGAAAGAACTGATAGTTTGGCTACAATTAGAAGGGGAAGAACAATTGGAAAAAAAAACAGGATCTCACTGTAGCCTGGGCTGCTCTGGAACTCAGGATTTTCCTGGTTTGGTCTCTTGAGTGTGGAGATTATTGGCTTGAACCACCACAGCTGGAAATATTAAAAGTATGAAAACCTGTGTATAGCTCAGTGTAACCCTTGAGAACTGTTTGAGCAGATAATCCTAAGGCAAATGTAGGCAAATTTCAAAACAAGGAATTTAAGTAATAAATTTTGCTAAATAATGTTTAGTGCCATTTCTTGTCTTTTCTTCTCTCATGTTTTGCTCCACTCTAATGGTTTTCCTTCTGTCCTTATAGTACATGCCCCATGCATCGCCAAATGCATGCTGGGGAAAGAGGATGGGAAGCAGATCAATCAGTGACTTACAGGATCCGGTGACACTGAGGAAAGTGATGACACTGAGAATGAGTGTAGCCAACTTACTCGTTATTCTTGGGATCCTGATCTGCTCACTACTGGTACCATCCCCTCCATCTGTGGTGGCCTTGACTTCGATAATGTAGTCCTCTTTGATAGGCAGCAAAAGTTCAGCTGAAGTTTTATTTGTGTTCAGCACTTGCACAGTATTCTGACTGCTAGTCCTATAGAAAACCTATAAAACATAAGCAAGCACACTTTTTATACGGCCACCTTTTATGTTCTTCAAAAACTTTGTCACTCCAAAATGACATCACGTCTTTATAACCCTAGATTATAAAGCGCACTTCCTGCTAAGTCTGTAGGTTTTAAATGTGGGTAAATACAGTGGAATCATTGGGTTCTCAAAACTGAGGAGGCTGAGTGAAAGCTGAACTTTTTTGATGGCGAACCTCAGTTAGGTTGGGCATTGGTGAATGGGTAGAAGAGGAACACAGGGAGATTATGAGACATGTGAAAGGAGGAGTAGACCCTTGCTTCAGAGTCTGACTGAAGTCTCTCCCCAATCTTGAAGCAAAAAAAAAAAAATGAGCCATTTACCTTTGTTGTAAAGTTTGTCCATATAAAGCTAACATTCTGTTTCTGATATATAGTTTGTGTAAAGTAACAATGAACCAGGCTTAATGAAGAATGCATAAGAACGTGGATAGGACCTCATTCCTTTCAGCAGTCAGTCTCTTAGGATTTCGAACAAAATTGTTACCTTTGTATAAAGCAAATAAATCCTATTTTCCAGAATTCCTGTGAGCTAGACTTTTACCTTACCAACTGTAATTCTGTTAGTTGACTCTCAGGAAACTCCTGACAATCTCATTTAAGCTCCCTAACAATCTTGTGACTACAGTAATTTCAAAGCCCAATAATAACTTATATATGGTTATTATAAAAAAAAACAAACAATGAGCTTGACCCTCATGGGGGAAATGGTAGACACAATTTGGATATGTTTTATTTTCTGCGAGTCTTCTTTATGAAGCCCACATCTAAGCTCTAGAGTATGCTTATCTTCCTTCTGTGCACCTGTCTTTTTTTTTTTAACTCTAAAGCTTAAGACTATGTAACATATCATTATTTAACCCAACTATGCTTCATAAACCGGATAGCACTGAAATTCTTTGAAGCTATGAATATGATTTCACTTGTGCCAACATCTCTAAAAGTGTAGAGACTTCCTTGGGTTGCTAATGATGGCAGTAGGAAGCCATCTTTCCTTCCTTTGCTTGGCCACAATGCTTACAGTGAGGATATATAGCAGACAGAACCATGTAAAATGTGTCTTTGGTTGTCAGGGGCAAGGAATCATGGGTAACCTTTACAGTTGGTTTTAAAATAGCATTTGATGAAAATTGAAAATAAATAAAACAAGTTATAACCATCATATTTAAATTTTTTATAAGCAACATTATCTCAATAAGTACATATAAAAAGTCAGATAGTTTGAGAAAATACTCTTTTTAGGAAAAGCTTGATAGTTATGTGAAAATTAGATTAAGAAACCGTATCACCAACATTTTAAAAATAAGCTTTCCACTTAGATTTCCTTGGAGCACATTTGCAGACATGGGAAAGGTGAAGTAGTCTAAGTCACAACTGACCTTGTAGCCTATTACTTCTGACTCATTCTCCATCGCTTTCACTTGCTCCCAATTCAACAACACTTTCGTGTCTGTGGCATTCCAAACAACATTTCCTGGTGGCTGACTAGGAGCTTGAAATGCAAAAGGAGAAATTAAAACTTATCTGAGTACAAAGTCATATTTCAGATGGAGCAGACAAATAAATATTCTACAAGGCTCATGGAAGAAGAGGGAACTCCTTGGTAACCCACAGTGCAGCGATGGAGTGAGAAATAACTAAGGAGGACCTTTAAAATGTCTCTTTATAAAAAGATACTGTGTTTAAATTGTGAGAAAATTGGCTGTACTATATCATAGGATACCATATAATATCATACCACATGCCATATCATACAGTACCACACATATCATACCATATATACCATACCTTGAAAACATGTTAAAAACATAAGAAAGGCAATTCCCTTATCTACCACTAGAGGGCTTTCTGTTAATGAGTCAAGTAGGGCAAGCATGGGACTTGTTTTGACACATACTAGAGGTTGAGAGAAATTGCCAGATTAAAGTTACAGGAAATGAAGTGTGGATGATTTTTAAGCCAGTCTCTTCATATGATGAGATGGGCAAAATGAGAGGCAATAAAAAAATCAGGATTACTCAGATTCATTCTCATGAAGTAATAGCTACACACATGAAAAATCACTGCAGACAGTCCATATTTTAAAGTCTTCGTTTTCCAAGTATAAATCAGTTTTTTTTTTTTTTGAGAAAAATAATGTGAAAGGCTAAAGAAGTTAATGAGAATTGCATTAGAGAATTCATGAAACTCTCTGGGTTTTATAGACTTGAATTTACAGTTAGTTTCTTCACAAGAACATGAGATAGGAAAAGTATACTGGTAAGATATAGGGGTATCTGTGTGTTATGTGGAGAGGGACATTGGATGGAGTAGGGAGTGGCAGGTTCCATTTGTTTACGGAGCAACAGAAGGGACACCAAAGACTCAGCTTCCTTTCAATAAAAACAACATATTACTCATTTGTCAACATCATCACATATTCCTATAATAGTCCTGAAACTGTTCATCCTTATACATCCAAACATAAGATATGATTCTGATAACTGGATTTGTAATGGGAAAATGATCCAAGAAGATTGCCTTTGCAGAGAAAATTCTGAACATCATAATTAACTCATGCTATAACGCAAATACAGCTGGACTTACAAATGGAAAAGCTCTCAGACACATTATGATATGAATAACCCAAACAAGATGGTATTGTATATACATTCTTTAGCTCATTGTGTTCTCACTAACATGAGTCTATGTAATTTTGAATGTTTCTGAGACTAGATCATAACAATGAGTTAAATCAGCTAAGACTGAGCTGCAAGGCTGTGATAACAAGATTAATGCTAACTGCTTAGGGTTGAAATATTAATCAGTGTGTTCTAGATACTCTATCCAGATGTCATGAATGCATTTAGAAAATCATCCTGAAGTCTGTTATCTGTGTGGATGACAGCAGCATAAAAGGGTGGGTTTAATATGATTTGACGGAATTCAGAAAATACACTTCGGCATGGATTGTTCTGTCAACATATATGTACTGACAGGTTATAGAAGGTTTCACTTGTTTGTGCCACATTACTTATACCAATACCAGCTTCAGAAAAGAAAGGATTGTAAACAGTGGTTTGTCTGGTTATGAATCCCAAACATATGAGCTGAATGAATCCAGCCTGATAGGAATACTTTTTTTAAATGGCAAAGAGAAAGGAAAAAGGATAGGAAGGAAGAAAGGAAGGAAGGAAGAAAAAAGAAAGAAAAACTACAAGAAAGTAAATTAATTTAAGTAATGAAATTAAGGAAAATGGACGATTTTTTTAAATTTTTCTTCCCCATGTCTGACTACTCTCCTTTATTCATTTCACTGTTTGCTTACATGGTAATTTTCCTGATTTTTTTAAATGTACATTTTTTACTTATGCATTTGTGTATGTCGATGTGTTTTTATTCTGACTGTATACCCACAGAAGTCAGTGTCATTGGCTTCCCTGGAGCTGGATTTACAGGATATTGTAAGCTGTTGAAGTCCATGTAGGTGCTGGGAAGTGAACTTGCATTCTGTGGAATAGCAACAAGCACTCTTAACTGCTGAGACATCTCTTCAGCCCACATATTTTCTTTAAAAAATACTAAAGTTAAAAAAAACATAAATACAATTTTTAGCCTCATTCCAAACAATGATAGTTACACAAAAGCCAGCTTGACATGCTTGTCACATTTTTGTGTACACTCCGAAATGAAGCTAATGGCTCCTCTTTAATTTTTAAAATGTTAAAAATGATACCCATCAGATCTCTTGCTACTATCACCTGGCAAATTCTTAACCAGAGGACCATTCTTCCAGCCTCCAAGCTTACAAACCATTGCTTAGTAACTATCTGTGATGTGTTGGGCAATACAGAATGTCCTCTGATATGAGTTAAGTAATCTCCAGTATGCTGCACTGCAGTGATACTCCTTTCTGTAATGTGCCCAACCCAGAGAGTTAAGGGAGACTATACATGTGTGTTCATAGAAGCTCTCTTCATAGTAGTGCAAGGGCAGAGACAAAACACTAACAGTTTTCCATTCACAGGGGAAAAGAATAAACACAGCATGCTAATAGATGGGATATTGCTCACCTTAAAAACAACCAGGAATCTAAGAGATGGTAGAACACGAATGAAGCTTGCAGCCACTAGGCCAAGCGAAATAAACCAGTCCCAATCCCATAAACACAGTAAGGTGCCTGTGATGTCTGACTTGTAGAACAGTGACAGTCAGGGACAGAAAGAGAATCCTGCTGACTGTTCACACAGCAGTATTCCCACAGTTAGCACTATTTAACTGTATATTCAATCCTAGTGTGGCTCCAGTAAGCAGCAGTGTATATACCTTCAAAGCCACATGGTGATGCCTGAAGGCATGGAATGATGGGAAAGTCCCTGGGATGACTGACAGTGTATGTTGTAGCACTTCTAACTTCATTCTCGGTGCTTTTTCCATCCAAAAATACGATCTACAACAGCATGACATAGGCCACACCTACTGGACTTAACTTGACAGATGGTCTATTTTTCAAAATGACTTGTCAGATTTTTTTTCTCTCTGTCAAATAAACTACTTTGACAGTATAATAGAAAAGAGTGGGAAAAAAACTAATTTGTTTTATTTAAAGGTGATATTTAATTGGATTTATAGCACAACGTAAATTGGCAGACTCTAAAATTCCCAGGAGAATTTAATTATTATAAAAAAGAGTATCATTATTGCAAGAAGGATTTTTTTTTATTGTCATCTATCTTTAAACATCCATCACGATGCTTTCTGTGTTTTGTTTTCTAACTTTTCAACATCACCTGTATGAGAGATTCCAGTTGTTCTATAGATGCTTGTCTGCAAAGAGCTGATGACAGTGACATGGCTATGCCTGGGTGAAGTTGGGGCATAAGACACATCAATCAGTGAGAAAACAGCTAAATAAATGGTGGCCAGTAGTCAAGGTGAGACAGTACACATATATGATGTCCTGATTTTATTATTGGTGCTGTGATAAACCACCCTGACAAAAAAGCAACAAGGGAGAAAGGGCTTACTTTCTTTCACAGTTTCAGGTTACAGACTGCCATTGTGAGGAAGTTAAGGCAGAAACTTGAAGCAACTAGTCATATCACATCCGCAGCCAATAGCAGAGAAGAATGAACACCTACCGGCCTCATGCCCAGCTAGCTTTCCCTGCTCTTGTACAGTCCAGGACCCAATAGTAGGGAATGGTACCACTTACTTCAGGGTGGATATCTGCTATCAATTAACATAGTCAGGACACCTCCCATTGCCTCCCGAGTTGCCCACAAGATGACCTGATCTAGACATTCCATCAATAAGACTTTCCGAAGGTGATTCTGAATTGTATCAAATGACAATTAAATCAAACAGCACCTGTGCTTATATAATATGCAAGTTGCTAAACAAAAAGCCAAGGGGGGGGCATCTGTACAATAAAAATCTGGGAAGCACGTATAATGATGTTTTTTTTGGGGGGAGGGGAGGGTTATGGGATTGTAGCTGGCTTTTATTGTACACTCCATGATTTTCTTTTGCAAAGTTTCTAGAATGAGTGGATTTCAATGGTATGGAATATTTTTGAGGCTGCTAATCTAGGGGACTTTATTGTGTGCAGTTTTCAAGGGTGATATTTTCCATAGTAGTGACAGGGATCCTAGAATTTCCTTTGAAACTGTGGAATTTTAGAATGCCTACTTGCTGTGGTCGATTGCACAGAACGTAGTATGTTTTTCATCTCCTTTTCTTGGCTACCTTAAAAATACATTTAGCACATAGACATTGCTTGAGAAGATCATTAGCATTTTTAATTAGATTGGTTAAACAAGTGAGATTTGTGAGAAAAACGAAATAACCCAAAGCTACTTTCTAACCAGTGCTAAGATACATATTGCTTCAATCACTATTAGAAATGAACCAAATGCATCATACTATAGAAAACTGTTTTCCTATTGATTTTATGTTTCTTGTTTTTAATTATGCATATGTTTGTGCCCATGGGAATGTTTCCAAGGTGGCATGGGAACCACCCATGGGAACCACTGACATGGGAAACCACCCTCAATGTAGACAACACCATTCGGTGGGCTGTTGTCCTGGGATCAATAAAAATGAAAAGAGGAAAAAGCAAGCTACACACAAGCATTCATTTCTCTCTTCTCCCTGCTTGTTGATGTAATGTGCCTATCCTCCTGGCACAGAGTCACTTAACAGCCATGAAACTGAGACAAAACTAACCTTCCCTGGGGTTTTCCTGGGTGTTTGTCACAATAAGTAGAAAAGCAACTGATAGATTAATTCCTTTGCGCTGTGCAGGTATGCCCTTGGTTTTCAAGGCAGGAAAACTGTTTTTTCTAAGAATTGGTTAATCCATCAATATTAACCTCAGATGCGAATAAGAAGTTCATGCAGTTCTGAATGGAGTCATCAGTAGGAATTATGATTCTACTTTCCTGAGAGTTTGACCATCCAAAAGTAGACAGTGAGACACCTAGTTGCTATATTGCTACCCAGAGGAAT